GTCGTTTTAGTTCTACGTCCCGATTTTTTTATCGTATCATATTTAAGTGGCCATTGGAGATCGGGTCCGTTTGTACCGTATTTAAGTGCGACGTTCGACAATACGGGAAAATACGGGAGTATTCGGGAATGTTGTTCTAGCAGATATTATCTAAAGACTATTATCGAAAGAATCTTCAACAGTAAAAGACTTCTAAGCAAGACTATCCTTGCCGTTGTGAAAGGACCTTTAATCGCCTGTACCAAGTAAGATGCATGTTTTTTAATATTTTTTCAAGCGTATCCTATGATTGTTGCACTAGACTGACTGACTTATATTTATGTGATACGTATAGATAAACAATCATGAATTTTTCGTTTAATTGGGCAGTGTACGGTCCAGCATTACTGTTTATAGTGTAACGCCGAGGGAAAAAGTGAAGTGATAAACACAATGAAATCAACAAGAAAAATATCACAGGAAGAGATAAGTTAAATGAAATTTTATTTTGATAAATTTTGACTATGACTGAAACTAAATCAAATCAAGAAAAGAAAATCGCATGTAATGTTACATGGATTCTACCACTGTGTATTATTTTAAAATATATTACCTATGACTAATTCCATTTCCACAAAAGTTCTTGTAAAATGCTTTGTCTAGTCAATAAATAATATAACTTATAACTTATTGCAAAAGTTTTTTCAAACCAAGATAACCTAAACAAACCGTAAATTGACCTAATGTTATTTGACATCCTCCCAACGCGTTTTACAGTGATTTTTATAAAATCGAATCGTTCGTGTGTCGTTCTTATTTTGAAAAATTAGAAACGGATCCAAACAAAATTGGAAGAAATTGTTATTGGGTATAGCTATGTATGTGTGCACGTTTGGCTCATCAGAACCGGTTGCGACAGGCCGACAAAAAAAGGGACACTTGAAGGGATAAGGGAAATTGTCGAGAAAGCACTTCGGGAATTGGCAGCAATAGGAAATTGAACAAGTTCGCAACGATGCTGCCGTACCCCGGAAAATTATATTAAATTTCCCAGATACAACGTGGACGGGACACTATCTCTTCGACGTTGTCGTCGAGGTAAACGTATACTATTTCCGCACCATCAAAATCGATTCACATAACGAGCAAAAGTATCCAGAATTATTTACAGGATAAAAAAATTGTCAGCTGAAATGACATCACGAACACGAAATATTGGTTATTTATCATCATTAAGGGAGATAAGAGATGAATTAAATTCACATTAGATTGGTAGAAAAACGAGATATTCTGACAAGTTATACATTAATCATTTAATATTTCAAATAAACATTCAAAAGTATCCCCCTCACTTGGCTAATGCATCCAGTAGTAATTTCAATGGCGACGAAAAATCTTGCGATGATAGGCAGTAAGATATAACAAAACAATCAAAGAAATAATACAAATAAATTTCTTCTTATGTTTCCAGCAGTTTAATGTAAATTTCTACAATTGCATCGATATATGATACCGCTTTCAAGGAATTGATTCAAAGTTTTGGGTCTTTTTCAAACAATTTCTAAATTTGAACGCGCAAAATTTCGATGTTCACAACAGTTTAAACCAATCCTAATGTATTTTTGCTAAATAGAAGGAATTGATTCATAATTTTGAGTCTTTTTCAACCAATTTTTAAATTTGATCGCACAAAATTTCGACATTCACAACGGTTTAAACTAATTCAAATGTATCTTTGCTAAATAGAAGGAACTGATTGATGATTTTGAGTCTTTTTCAACCAATTTCTAAATTTGAAAGCGCAAAATTTCGATATTCACAACGTTTTAAACCAATCCTAATGCATTTTTGCTAAATAGAAGGAATTTATTTATAATTTTGAGTGTTTTTCAACCAATTTCTAAATTTGAAAGCGCAAAATTTTGATATTCACAACGTTTTAAACCAATCCTAATGCATTTTTGCTAAATAGAAGGAATTTATTTATAATTTTGAGTGTTTTTCAACCAATTTCTAAATTTGAACGCGCAAAATTTCGATATTCACAACGGTGTAAACTAATTCAAATGTATCTTTGCTAAATAGAAGGAACTGATTGATGATTTTGAGTCTTTTTCAACCAATTTCTAAACATAGACGAACAACATTTGAAACTTTAAGATGGTTAAAGTCAATTTAATTTGTTTCATACAAAAGCCCGCCAAGGTGAAAATGTGTCAAAGAAATTGATTAATAATTTCTGATACTTTTTAAATAATTTTCAAATTTAAACGAGCTGAAATTCCTCTTTTTGATGGTTTCAAACCAATTTAAATTTGTTCGACAATAACTCGACAGAGTGTGCGTTTTGATGAAAATGTATTTTCTCGAAATCTAAGGAATTGATTGATATTTTCGGGTACTTATAAACCAATTTTCGCATTTGGACACATTTAATTTCGCTTCTTACGATGGTTCAAACCAATTTGAATTTGTATGATGTTAATGGGACAGGATGTTGTAAAAACGTTTTTTTTTTTTAAATATCGAAAGAATTGATTCATAATTAAAATTAACCAATTTTCAAATCAATTTAAATTGTCTTATATTAGGTGCCAACTGTGCATCAAAAACATTAAAATCAAAGTAAAAGATGCAGGTATTTGTAAAAAATGTAGTTACTGACAAAACAAATAAAACTGAAGTGATGATTTCTTTGCAGAAGCATTATAAAGTTCTAACTAGACGTGTAAGAGAAATGGAGATAGTTAATGCAATTGGCTGGCAACTTTTCACTTTAAATTATTAAGAGTTGTTGGAAGCTTGCAGTTCTGTCGCTTTTGAATGACAAATTGGATCGAAAATCTTCTTAAGGAAATGGCGCACTAGTTTCTACTTGCACTGTTTAATGGAACTTCCTCGGGCCAAGCGAGACGCGAAAATAAAACAAAAACGTTATTAAATGCGAGGAACTGTACGAAAGATTTAAAAAGTATTTTCTCAAAACGCAACCAAAGGAACTTTTACTATCTTTCTATATAGATGAAAATTATGTTCGCTGAAAAGTTACAACCAAAGCCGCAAATTGCAATTGCTAAAGTCCAATAAGTACCCACATAGATACATATTTAAATAGAGTTTGCAAAAGATAAGATTAACGCCGAATCACTGCACAGAAAGTTTAAAGATAAGTAAACTTTAAAACTGTTTGTAAAAGATGAATAAAATACGCTTATGAAGCTTTAAAGAAGTAGGAAACTCAAAAATTGAAAGGGGAGCAAGTCGTCAAAATAATATATACAAAAAAAATGTGACTGCTGTCTACCAGGGCAAAGTAGTATTACGTAAATGAAAGTATCAGCAAATTCTTATGCTTAAGTGTACAATGTTGTTGCATACCTATTTACAAACAATTCCTTTAAATTTTAATCATTGATTACAATATATCTATTAAAAAACCATAATGGCCGACATCAATAACAATACGACAACAATTGAAAAAGAATGATGGCCGACAACTGCAACAATTAGAAAAGAATGATGGCCGACAACTGCAACAATTAAAAAGAATGATGGCCGACACTACGTCATAGTGGAACAATAAAAATGGCCGGGGCAGGGGGATGAGCTAGTAATTATAACAAATTTTTTTTTTTTTTTTCTAAATTGTCACTAATAGGCACTTATCCTTTCCTAACAGATGATTCAAAAATAAATAATTTCTTTCAATACTTACTAACTCTATGTTATGAAAAACCGCGATGGTTTTAAATTAGAATACAGGTAGCGCGACAAATAAATATTATTTTCCTTGCTTTGGAACAAATTTCAAAGTTTAATTTACACAACAGGCTGCGTAATTAACAGGATATTAATTTTGTATGCTTTTCCTATGTCACAAAGAACGTTTTCATTTGTTAAATTAAGATAAAATACAGTCCAACTTCGTTGGATATGAAAATCGTAAACAACCATGACTAAAACTTACCTTAGCTTAAGGTCGGAAGGGTCAGGTGGATTATTAATATTGTTTAACACTACACACATTTTACTTTGTATTAATCACGCACAATGTTCGGCTTACATTAATATTTTGCTTTCACACCATTGCAAGGACCAGGCGTACCAGCTTAACTTTAAGAACAATACAAATACACTATATATGGTACAATTAGTACCTGAATATAACATAACTAAATTGTGGAATTGATATTAACAAATTATAAATTCCAATAACAAATTAACTTAAAAAATGTATTTCGGTCTAAGAAAAAGAGCACTCCTGAAATCGCTTGTGAGATATGACTTTGGTGAATATGTAGAGTACGTATTAAAGGTACACAATCAAAATAACAAGAAGATTGATAGCAAATTCCAAATTTTGTTAAGAATAATTGCATTTTTAGTCAAATTTTTGCTTTAAACAGAAATTACCTTCTTGTAAAGATACAAATTTGAATATTTTTGATATCTGGTACGGCATCTGGCACAAACCATCTAAACTTCATAGATAACAGTTAGTGATATCTGTGTTGCCAACGCTCCACTGAAAATCATAGATAGATAATAGATATAGCAGTACCATAGTAAAATAATTACTAGTAGTTACTTTTATTGTCCAAAGATGGCGCATTCTATTTATTTATGTCCGTTTATTTGAATTTATTTTTGTTTTATTAAAAATAAAAGTTAATTATAATTATAAAATGCTTTGTTTTCCAAAAATGACCGAGATATTTTATATTCTTCTGATTCTATTTATTGACCTCATCAAATCTTTGATTATAAATATATGTAATTATTTATAACATAACTTGTGGCTTATTTTCAATAAAATAGATTAGAACTATCAAAATTAAGCGTTCAGACTTCCGGAAATAGTAGCCGCATACGCCTGGTCCACTAAATAAAAAGATTAGTATCCATTCAGAGTATCCAATAGTGCTGTGGGATTCACCCATTTGAATTTCGTCCCTATTCTTGGTAGTTTTATAATCACTGCGCTTTTTATTATGTTTCTAAGTGAAGCAAACAAAATTACACACCCTCAGCAAGTTTATTTAAAATTCACTTCTAGTACACACATAAGCGTTTAATATTAAATATAAAAAAGACTTAGTACAACTTCAGTTATAATATAATGTATATACACTTCCAATTTGGTAACAATTACAAAAATAAGAACAAAAAAACGATCCGTTTAAATAAGTATATGCTAAATTGTAAATCATAGGTATTTCCTTTTATAATTATTTTTCCTTTTTTTGTTCTAAAAATTCATTTGTGGTAAAAATTATGCTAACAATTGGCTAACTACTATACTTGAGGTATGCTGCTCACTTCCATCACTTCATCTGTACAATTGTTAGGCCCGGTGGGACGTTGCTGCGAGTTGTAATGCCTCATAGAACCTATGTGATGGGAATTCTGAAAGGGGTGGTGAAAAGGCACGGGTTGATGACGCAGGGGTGTACTGCCGGGCTTACGGGGAGATCTCGCCTTTACTATATGTGGTTTGTACATATCTTCAAGCACCGACGGTGCAATATAAGTAAATCCCTGCAAGCATTGAAAATTTTGCTTTGAATGAAAAAAAAAACAGCAAGGCAAGAAGCAAAAAACTTCCTTGGACAAAGTATTACACACGTAGAACAAACGATAAATAAAAAATCAACACTGACAAACAAGCATACGACAACATTCCATATCAATTTGCCAATATCGACCTAATTACCTTTCAACTCGCACTAACAGTACTCATCAGAAAATGCTTTTCAATTTTTAAGTAGTATGGATACACTTTTAAACCTACTGTGGGTAACTCCCGTAAAAAGTTATTTCATAAAAGTGAAACTTTGCAATTAATTTTCAAGACCTATTCAACAATAACTCACTCGAAGGGATACATGAAAAACTTTTCACTTCTACCTAAACTCAAAACTTTTTTCAGCATTTTAGTTGCCTTCAAGCTTGCGGTATTGCTATTTGATTACTGAACGGTAAAAAAATAGTTTTTCTCTCACCTGAAATATCATATTGGCACTTTCGCTAAGAGTAGATTCATCTGGTGAATCAATAGGTGTTTGTTTGGTGAATTTGGTATCGAATTGCGAAACGTCATCTTCGCTGGCCTTCAAAAAAATAATATTATTAATTACATTACAAACCAAAACTGATACAAACGAAAAGTACAATAGTTGAATTTGTTGTAGCGCAATTTGTAAACTTCTCACAAATCTTTTATTTGAATGTTTGGAATTTGAATAAGTTCACCGTAATTAAACTTATTCAAAATCACCCCACCCACCTTTCCCTTAATATGACTCTTATATATAAGATTTTATGTCATTTATATATACAAACTAATTCATGAACATTCACCAACTAAAGGCCAACTCCATTATGTTTTCAAAGTACAATAGCTTACTAGACTCGGCTTAAAGGGCGGTTCCAGTTTTCTTGTTAGCACATCATTCCAGTTGATGTGCTTAAAAAACTGGTGCTGTTTGATGCCATCCGCGTCCCCGGGAGAAGACCCCAACCTAGCCAGCACCTGTCTCTTGAGCAATTTCCTTATCAAATCCCTGGCATCGGCAGTTAAATATTGGGGCAGTATCAGCTTGCCTTTAAGGATTTTTTCTATCGTTCTTTTGCGGTTTTCCGCAGTAAAAGGCGGCTAAAAAGCATACCACATATTGGAAAACAATATTATATATAATCTGGAATCCCTAATGTGCTTTCAAATTCAACTCGAAAATTTTAAGGCTTAATATTTACAATTCAATACTAATTCATTGTTTTTAAATTAGAAATTAATAATGAATGAGAAAGGTACTCACAGCCCCTGTTAACATATCATACATAAGAGCACCTAATGACCACCAGTCGACTTCTTTACCATGGCCACTTCTCGTTAATATTTCAGGGGCCCTACAAGTAATATTTATTAAATAATAATTCCTAATAGTTGTTATCAGACAGAAGTGTTTTAAAAATAAATATTTAACGTACATGTATTCTATAGTACCGCAAAATGTGTGTGTAACAATTCCTTCTTGAATGTGTTCCTTACAGAGACCAAAATCGGTCAATTTAACGTGTCCGAAAGCATCTAGTAAAATATTTTCAGGCTTTAAATCTCTGTAAATAATTCCCTGTAAATGCAAGTGCTCTAGTGCTAGAATAATTTCGGATAAGTAAAAGCTAAAAGAAAAAAATTATATAAAATATCACACACAAACTGTTCTCCTAAATTACCATGCAGTATCTTCTAAAAATATTCCTTCACGTTCCAAATGCATGAAAAGCTCGCCTCCACTTAAATATTCTAAAATTAGATACAGTTTGCCTCCAGTTTGGAAGGCATATTTTAAGTCCACTATGAAAGGGTGCTAAAATGACAAAATAAAATATTAAAAAAATTAACATCATATTAAAACATTTTATTCTTACCTTAACTTCTTCTAAAATATTGCGTTCAGCCTTGGTGTGTGCTGTGTCTTTTTGATTTCTAACTATGGAAGCTTTACGAAGAACTTTCATTGCAAATATTGTCCCGGCATCTTGACCAGTAACTTTACGCACCTGAAATACTTTGCCATAGCCCCCTTTCCCCAGTACTTTCCTAAGTTCAAAGTCATGGGGCCCTGTCTTTTCTTGTCCAGGGTTAACATTTTGTTCAGTCAGTTGGACTGTTTCAATGTTATCGTCACTAAAACAAATATTTTTGCTCTTTCAAATGTATACTCTATTAAAAAATGACCCGGAAACTGTAAAAAATTAAATAATACTAGTCAAACATACTAAATAAAACAATTTATAAGGTACATAAAAAAGCTCTTCAAAAGATAAACATATACATATACATGTATGTATACAATACGAATTTATGAGGATAAAAAGCGGTGATTAAACAAACAGAGCGTTGCAAAATCCAGAAACCTAGTAACATGTAATACTTTATAGTTTAGAGCATATTAGTTCATTTTAACTTTTACTTTCACTCAGACCATGTAAAAAGAAAGTCCTACATTTCAATATGATGACATAACCATGACCTACTTACACACTTTACTTCTGTCTTACAAAACTGAAAATAAGGCAAAAACTATTTATTGTTTTACAAATATGCTGCCCATGGGGTGTAAAAAAATAATTTAAAAATTTGATATTGTACATTTTTACTAGCAGTTATTCTTAAATATCTTTTATTTTTGGTGTAAAAAACATAAAAAAAACACAAATTCAAATAGAATAACCCAGACAAATCAAGATCATTAAAATTATTTGACCTAAATTAACCAATTTTACCTATAAGAGATAACTTAACGACTCACATAAGGTTTATCCAAGATAATTATAAAAAGGCTCTTATAATTGATTAATTTGGTATTCACTATCTAGATATGAACAAGATGTAAATGAATACTTACTCTATAATATCATTCACGTTGGGGTTCTGATCATATCCACCCTAAAAATATATAGATATGTAAAACATATGCAAACCAAATAAAAAGTATGTGGCAAGAATTTCAAAACTGAATTAGCACCATGCTTTCAAATATATGTTGTGTAGTATTTTTTTGGCTGTAATACCTCAGTTATTTCAATAATATCGTCATCAGAATCGTCAACTTCTACAGTTTCAATGTCATGTAGCTCAATATCAAATACGCCAGCCATTTTTCAATAACACACTTAATAACTGTAATTTTCACATTCTAGCACAAACGAACAAAGCACATTTCTAGAAATCACTTTGAAATTGATATTACTTTCCAGTTATAGAATTTTCTCACCATGCATTACACTTCGAAGTAAGGTTAAGTACCTCTTCTAAACTGACAACGACAACTAGCTCTGGTTTGTTATTTTGGTATCCGTTTCTAAAACGTTATTTCAAAAATACGTTCTACGACGTTCTTTTGTATTCAATACGTTACTAGTGATAAAATACTAAAAAAAGAAAATTATTTTTGTTTAATCATGCAATATTAGTTGTATTAAAAAAAATCGGTTTTATTTGACCTAAACGGAGAAATGTTTATTATTTAGCAGCTTAGAAAATATGGGCTTTCACTCGATTATAAATCACGTGATTTCTAAAGTTATTTTTCTGTTACGATCACTTAATGTAAAAATAAAATCATTTTTTCCAACAACATAGACAACCTTCCTTACAGTACTGTTACACTGGTAAAGCCCGATGGCCTTGCAATATCAATTAATCAAAAATAAAACGCATTTATTCTAAAAGATTTTGCCTTATCAATTAGATGAAAATTGAAAATGCTTATCTATAAAACTATTAACAACATAAACATTTTCAATACGTAGTTATCTTTACAACTTTGAGACTTCATTATCGTCATAAATTACATGGCGAATCGAAATGAATTTTACACTTACTGTTTTTTGTTTTTAGTTGCAAAGAATATCAACAGAAGAAAATGCTTTTTTTTGTATTCTCCAAAAGAGCCATTGAATTATGGCTAAAAGTTTCATGTTTTTTTTAAATATTTTTTCAAAATCAACCATTAATACATTAATACGCATGCGTATTGAATAATAATTTTCCAATAGAAGAAGAATGCTGTTGAGGATATTCAAACGCATAGGTTAGGTCAACACGCTGTGTTTGTATGACTTTGTATGTTCTAGATTTTTTATTTAACTTAATTAATTAACGTTAGATTTGTGTATTAATTATTTAATATGGCTGATAATAAAAGTAAAAAGGTATGTATCTTTCTTTTACTGGTTACAATGACACAAAGTTTTCACAAAATCTCTACGTTTTGACATGAGCCTTTTCGACCGATTCCCATTAAATTTATTTCCTTACCATGTCTCTTCCTAATTTAAGTATATATTCAGGGAATAGTCGCCCCGACAGTATCTTCCTCAATTCTGTATACGGAAAAGAAGTACGATGTCACCACAAAATCGATTTTAAATGCTTGATTGTGTATGTTTGACTTTTATTAGGTGCAAGAGTACAAGGATTCATTGAAAGCCAAAGCAGAAGAATTAATTTTAAAGGGATTTCCAGAAACGATTGTAAAGCTTAATGACATTTTAAATACACCAAAATTCAAAGATAGAAGTTTCTCAGAAGTCCATCAAGAAGTAAATATTCCAGTGCCTGATCCCGTATTGTTTAACAGTCATGATGATGATCTGCCACCCCTAAAGAAGATTAAACGTGATAGCAGTATATCTAGTGATGGCACAAATGTGTTTGTACTTCCTAATGGACCTGTGCCTACTAACAAGTTGCTGTTGGAAGTAATTGATATTGTGAAACCCCATATTAGAAAACTGATTGAGGACTCAAATTTAGTAAGGAATGCAACAATTCTAACAATAATAATTATATACACTGATCAATTTTTCTTTGCAGCTGAAGATGTGGATTTCTTACATGATTCCGAAAATTGAAGATGGGAATAATTTTGGAGTATCAATTCAAGAAGATACATTGGCTGAAGTTCAGTCTGTAGAGTCTGAGGCTACGGCGTTCTTTGACCAGATTTCACGTTATTTTGTCTCCAGGGGTAAATTAATTTCGAAAGTAGCAAAATATCCTCACATTGCTGACTATAGGATGGCCGTTCAAGAACTTGACGAAAAAGAATATTTGAGTTTATGGTTGACCATGGCCGAAATCAGAAATCGATACTGTTCATTGCATGATATGGTCATTAAAAATATTGATAAGATAAAGAAGCCACGTCCGAATAACGCAACAGAGTCACTGTACTAACTTAAATAAAAGTATTAATAAGTTTCTGTAACTTTTGTTTGTTTTCTTTCCGTCATTTTTCTATTAGTTTTTGATTTCTTAATAAAAAACTTATATATTCATTTAAATAATAAGTTTAAATGATTTGATAGAGGATTCTGTCATACTTTTCTTTATTATTTATTTACTAATCAAACCAGAAATAAGCTACTATTTTGAATAAGTAATATAAAAAGATTCGTACTGATTTTTGAAAAAAATCACATTTTTTTGCTAGATAAATGTAATAAAAGATAAATTAGATATTTTCTCGTTTAAAAAGAGCGCACTTTGCTTCATCAAGGTAGACAACCCATTATACTTGGCTGTGAATGGAAAACAAAACTTCATTTTCTGAAAAATTCTGCCAGGCTTAGGCAGCCCACCTTGCAGATATTTAATATTTAAATGTATTAAAAGACATAATTCTTTAAAAATTGTTTAACTGCGAAATAAATTGAAAAAAAACAATAAACAAGGATATTTATCTCTTGACTTTTATATTGTTAAGCTGAACTATCAAATATTAAGTCAATATTCCACATTTTAAAATATTATTCGATGTTGGAATGATTATTATTTGCTTTTATTATATTTCACAAAATTATCAAACAGTTTATTCGGGAATAAATGAACTTATACCTACGAATGTCCATAAATAGTAGCTACTTCTTTTGCATGTCATGTTCTTTTTTAATTATTTTAATAAAAAGAATGAAACTACTATTAACCACCCTATACATGTGCGCTATATCGATTAAGAATTGATTATATTAAATAATTACAATTTCAATTGTGCGTTTTTTCTTTTAATTAATTTTATTATATAAGATAAACGATTTTTCACCCTATATATATTGACAATATTATGGTAAGTGAGAAGAAAATAAGAAAATAATGAAAACCGTTTAATAAACTGTCGAATCCATAAGGCATAGAGAAGGAGAGCTGGAGGTTTAATAATGCTGCTCGACCTAGTGGCCCACTCGACTTGAGCCACAGAAAATGAATAAAGCTTTGGAATGCCAACGATTCCAAAGCTCTTTCATTCTCGTCATGTGCCGTGTAGGAGGTGAAGGGGCAACTTCTCATTTTCACCCCCCACTGTAGATTAATTGTGCGATCAAAACGCTTCCTCTTTTCCTCAGAGCAAATTTTCGCTGATTATTTTATTTTGAACTTGTACAAAAATTTTCGAAATATTATATGGGATACGAGTTTGCTTTTCAAACATATTATTCTTTTGTATCTGACTATTATTTCAATTCAATTCAAATAAAAGAAAGCAAAATAAAAAACTGTAACAAATCATCAAAAAATGTTTTCCGACCTACCTATGTTTATTAAATTTTGTCAATGTTGAGTTCAAATTGACCCAAAGCCCATCCCTGTTAGTCCACCTCATTGTAATATTTGAATATTTTAAACTTTTTTTGTTCTTTTTTTTAATATGGATACGTACCATTCAAAATATATAATTGCTTTAATTTATTTACTTAAAATAAGTAAATGACAAAAGAAAATAAGTAACAAGGGGTACAAGGGGTTAATTTAAAGTATATAATTTTTTAATCAAACAAAATATTACATAACTCTTTGTTAAATACTTGTTAGGTAATAAAAATAGAAATTATCTTCTAAAACATGTGAGGGTCCTTGATGACGAAAAGATTTTTTTTACAAAAATATGATGTAACTTCAGCTATCACTTGAAGAGCGTTTATTAAGAAATAATTTGTTTTCTAATATTCAATTTATGCTAAGAAATTGCTAGGAACTCGGTTCTGCATATAAATATCGTTATGGCAGTAATTTTCAGCGTGAAAACTCTATTGGATCTAACTCTTGCGTTGGTGTGGAGGGGTGAATATGAGTGAAAATCACCCTTCTACTTGTGGTAAATTCAGAACATCCCACCTTAGAAGTTGCTGCCGTATTCCTTCAAGCAACAGGTAGGATTTTTCATTCTTCTAATGCTTTTTCATTTTTTTTTATTAACTATTAATAATTAATAAA